TTGTTTTCTGCACAGATTTTTCTTTCTTTTGTTGTTTTTGCTGTACGGTTGTTTTTTGTTTGTTTGTTTTTAATCCAGGTCTGGTCTAAATTGATGTACATGTAATAAAAAGCTGTTCTTTTTTGCCACGTTCACAGTTGGAATGAAGTTTTCACAAATCAGAGACTCCGTTTTAAAGACCCTTTAACTTCTGCAGGACAGTCTAGTCTAAATTTGACTCTTTGATTCTTTATAGTGATTTCAGATCTGATTTTCACCAATGAAATAAAAGTCAAGGTTTTCTTTTAAGGATAGTGTACGTAATTCTCTCTCTGTCTTTGTCTGTATCTCTTTTTTCAAGAATGAAAGCTAAACTAGTTTGATTGTTTCTCTGACACAGATTCCGTGTCAGGTGAACACCACTACAGCTCTGAAATCCGATTTGTGAAAATGATGGGTGAAGGCACAAGCTGTCAGAAGAACAACGCAGAAATGGTGTTCAGGGTCATCGTGATGGGACCCAGTGGGGAGAGTTGGTTTATCGACCTGTGTGACACCGAGGAGCAGTTTAAGACCATCACAGTGCTGCAGCTGAAGGAGAAGATACGGAAACATGCTGGTATCAAACCAGGTAGAATCACTTGTTACACACTGAGAGAAACAGACATTTGATTCTTAGGCTGCAAGTTAGAGTTCTGTCATCATATAGTTAGTATTAACATTAGACTGTCATCTATTAAACCTAAACCGTGGTCGACTGCTGGGTTTTAACTTTGTGTGTGTGTGTGTGTGTGTGTGTGTGTGTGTGTGTGTGTGTGTGTGTGTGTTAGAGTTAGAGCTAGAGCGTATGCGAATGATCTTCACAGATAAGGTTCTGTCAGAAGACTCCACCCTGCTGTGTGATTATGGAATCAGACGCAATGTAGTGATACACCTGGTATTAAAGGTACCAGGGGGAGGAGGACCACTCACAGAGAAGGAAGGTGGAGGGATGGGTGACAAGGACAAAAGCCAAAGTATGGAAAGGCTCTTAAAAATGTAAACCATTTTAATAACAGGACAGCACCACCATCTCACCTACAACTCTACATCTTCGACACTGTAAAACTGCTCTATGCTACACAATGACCAGTAGTAATACTGGAGTCATGCACGATCAAACTGGAAACCAATTCTGCAGGAGAGTGAAACAGAAAACCAAACCCTGCAAGCTGACAGGATGATGGTCATCGGTTCACTGCAGTTTGAAGGCAGGAATGCTGTTCAGTAAATCTTGTACAAGCTCATGAGATCTAATGAAAGACATGTTAAAGTGTGTCATTATGTGTGGAGGTGAGAGGCTCCGTTGTTTTTATTGATAATCTTTCTGAATTAGTTGAATATTAAACCACTTTTTCAGTCTTTGGACTTGCATTTTCACAAATATAATGTAACAATTTGCTGTTGTTTTACAGATTTTTATTATTATTTGAGTAGAAATTATATCTAAGGATTGGTTTGGTAAATCATTATTGTTACAAGCTCATGAGATCTAATGAAAGACAAGATAACGTTAGAAAGCCCTCATATTTTGAGTAGAATGTTGTCTGGTTTATGTTAATATGTGCATTTCCTTTATTGAGTAAACTGAATGTTACTGTTTTTTTCCATAGTTTTCTTCCGTGTACATGTTTAGACTCGGCTCATGTTTTGCTTCAAGAGCTGTGCTGAGCTGTATTTTTCCTTTCATTGCTTTGTGTAGATTAGCAACAGTGAGAGGTCTTGTGTTCGCCCAGTATAGAGCGTAATTATGCACTGTTTTATTGTTACCTGTTGATTGCTGGAGACATATTATTGATAGCTATCTCATGTGACGGACATTAGTTTAGCTGTTGGCCTTGCAAGTCGCCAATTATCAGCATGTGTCTGGTCATGTTACGTATGTGAGTTAATGTGGTTGAAATGCTGAGCCATACACAATATTTTGCACTTTGTGCTATTGTGATTATGTGCATTTATGTTCTTGTTTCTCTGTAAAAGTATTCTTAATTGTGGTTGTGCTTATGGAAAATGCGTCACCAATTTATCATTACTGTTTGTAATATTTCAGACCCACAGCTATCTACAGTACAGCAGTTCACCGCAGCTCTTGTTGTTGTCCATGCCTAAATCCAGCAATAAATGCCATTAACCAGGAAAGTCCAGCTGCCTGTTCTCTAACTGGAACACCTCATACCTTGCGCCACTCTGAAACCACACACTTGGATCCCCTCTCTCCTTTTTAGTTAAAGTGTGTCATTATGTGTGGAGGTGAGGGGCTCCGTTGTTTTTACTGTTACTCTTTCTGAATTAGTTCAATATGAAACCGCTTTGTCATTAGTCTTTGCACTTGAGTGTCATCTTTGGATCATCCATCAGGTGGTGCTACAGCTCCTCCTGGACTCTCATCAGACTTTGTTGTGCTTGGAAGGACTGAACACAGCATGTTGTAAAGACTGAAACAGAAATAAGTGTAACT